CACCTTGGCCTGAGTCTGGAGCTAAGATTGAGGGAGATAATCARCCTCCAAGGAATCAAGAGCCATGACTTGGGCACTTGGTTTCCATATATAAGAGTAGACATCACAGTAAAAGTGACTGGGCTGGAGCGAGGAAGAGAGAGGATTCTAAGCCACTATAGCTTTGGGGAAAAGAGGAGGGGGCAGGAGGCAGCTTCTGCTGCTTTGAGCAGACAGCTCAGCCTTTTGGAGTGCTCAGAGCTCAGAGGGCACAGCTGGCTGGGGCATCAGTTCAGCCCTGGAGCCTCATGTTAGAGACAAAAGTCTCCCATCRGTGCAAGTTGTGCTCACGTGATTGTTTTGATAATCCCGTCACACAAGGGACCCACATAGAGCCATAAGGCTTCTCTAATGGGATAAATGATCACCTGGTGCCTAGTTGCCAATTCTGATTTACTTGGATTTTTCTAGGGTTGGGTCTCATGGGGCACAGAGACAAAGAAGAGCCATCAAAATCCATCCCCCTTCTCCAAGTTCTCACATTCCCAGTCCCTGCTTTACAGATGGAAGTCACCAGAGTCAGAGACAGATTCTTCCAGGGACTGGGGCTGATGCTAAGCCAGGCTTTCATGAAAAGGGTAACTTAGGACAAAAGTGATCCAGACACCATCTCAGTGATAGGCTTCTACCTCTTTGAAAATTCTCCCYTGGATTTTTGGGCCCCAGCCAGCCAGCCTTCTATGAGGACTCAGTAATGGCAGACCCTCACCTTGCCCGGAAGCACCATCATTAGCCACACCTGGTGTGCTTCTCTTCAATTCCCATCACAGGTCTCAGTCTACACCACTGTGCACTCAGGATGTGAGCCCTGTGGACACACCCCCTGACTCTGCRGTGGGAGCTGGACTATCCAACTTCTGTCTCTTCTTCTTTTCTTCCACTCAAGTATAGGAGCCACACATGACTGCGGTCTGGCCTTTAGTCCTAGAGTCATTTCCTCTATATCTATAGCACCTTTGAACTCTGTTGCCTTCCTGTATGAACAGAGGCACAAATCCCCAGAGATGAGAGAAAATTCCCTTAAAAGAGTGCTTAAGTGAAAGTTGGATTTTCCACATCCCAGGGCATGATCACATCCCCKTATCTGAAGACTGGTTAGACCAGTCAACCATGGCCCCTCCTAATAATCTCACTGTTGGTGTCTGTGCATGCAGCTCTAATGCCTGTTAAACCACTGGGCTAAACCACTGGGYTCTGGCTTTTCAGATGGCCTCCCTAAGTCCCCTGGATACTTCTCTGTGATTCTCAAATATGGTCTATTCTTGGTTTCATGGTCACAGCTGAAGGTGATTCTGTTTAGGAACATTTTAGAATTGTGGGGCGGGGGTGGAGAAGAACAATCTAATACTTGTCAATATATTCTTCACCTTTCTTTGGCATAGAACTTGATTCTACCCTGGAAACAGCATTAGACACAGKTGATCATTCCCTCCTTCTTGGAACACTGTTCTTTTAGCTCTAGGATGCTACACTCTCCCAGGTTTTCTTCCTACCTATCTGCACACTCCCTATGTTTCCTGTGCACCTTTAACTTCCTCTACCACTTCCACTCAACAAATACCACAGAYTCTCATCTCTCTATTTGGAGTCTGTTTCTCTTTTCACTCTTTAGTCTCTCCCTGGATGACTTCATCCACTCCCATGCTCTGARTACCATCTATGTACATGACTCACACACACATTTTTTTTACATCAGACCTCTTTTCCGAACTCTAGTCCTGCATTTTTAGCTATCTAAGTTTTTGGTGTATCTCTCAAGCTCAAACTGCCTTAAACACATACGCAGTTTCCCTCTAAAGCTATTATTTTACCATTGTTTCTAGAATCCATAAATAACACTATCCTCTACGGTGTCACGCAAACTAAAGATTCGTAGTCTCCTTGACAGTTCTTTCTCCTTTATTTCCCTTACCTTATTCATCAACAGATTTTATCTATATCTATTCCAGGGAGTTATGTCTTTTATTTTATCTGTGTATCTCCACTTCCATCACGTGAGCCAAGCAACTTTTGTCTCCCACCTGGATGCCTGCAGTGGTCTCAAAACTCATCTCTCCAATCCCCTTTGGTTCCACATTGAATCTGGAATGATTGTTGGAAATACAAATCTGACCATACCATTGCTCCATGAATAACATTAAAATGGCTTTCTGTGTTTCTTGGGCTATAGAACAAAAACTTTCATGTGGCCTGTAATGTTCCCTGTGCACTGGTTCCTGCTGCCCTCTACAGCTTTTCTCTGAGCCTGTTCTCCTTGCTTTCTCACTCTTATTATACTATATCTTTTGAACGCACCAGGCTCCTTGCCCCACCACACAGACTTCTCTTGAATCCTTTGCTTAGTTACAAACTTGGAGCTCACCCTGGTGGACACTTTCTCCCAGAAGTGACTCATTTCTCTTCTATGCACTTTCCAAGTATCTTGTGCGTCTCTGTTCAAATCCTAAATAGACTTCAAAGTTTGCTATCGATAATTTTTAGCTTATTAGTTATATCCCACTAGCCCCAATCACCACTAATTGTAGACCCTTTGAGGGCAGGTGCTATGCCTGTTTTGCTCCCCAAATGCCAGGCATACAGTGGGTGCTTGTAATTATTTACTGAAGGAATGAAGCATGAATCTCATTAGACCCAAGCTGATAGTGGTGCTCATAGAGTAAGAACATCCTCTACAGGGGCTCTTTGCCTTTATACACGCAGTCTCTAGAAAAGGACTAAGTAACGTATGTCAATGAATAACTGCTCCAGAGCCAACATTTGTTCTCAACCCAAATGAAATGACTCTGTCAACATTGAGGGAATTGTGATCTGAGGTGCTCTACCTCCTTTGAGCTTGGTACATGGTGGACTAACCGTATCTTGGAAGTCATGCTTCCAATCTGGGAAATGGAGGCTACCAAGGAGCCACTCAGAACTAGCTCTTGCTCTGGAATGTGAGGCTGGAGCTGCTAAGAAGGCAGTTGACCAATTCCTGAGAAAGTCTCTACACTGTAGATTGTCAAACCCTTCTCAGAAGGCCCTGGTATTTGATGAGTTTTAGCTAGTAAAAAGGATGGGTAAATTCTCATCCAATAGTGCTTCAGGGGAAGGCCCTCTGACCTTACAGACCACATAGTTAGGCATATAGCACATGGGTACTCTGTAGCAAAATAATGCCTGATTAAATTAATAAACAAGTAAATAAGTCTGACCCACACACCTTTATACCACTCCATCATCATCCACTAAACAAGTCTGAGGGAGACCTGTCCTAGAGCCTGCCATTAGATGAACATGACATAGTCTCTAGCCTTGAACTCTTAACCGTATCCACTAGGGACACTTGGTTAGTAAACTGAATTTCTCCAAGTTCAGGCAATGTGAGGAAAGTGCTGTGAGAGAGAAAACACTCTACACTCTGAAGCAAAAAGAAAAGTGCATCAGTATGCTGGAGGGCTGTTCTGAAACATAAGTAAGTCTGGGGAGCCAGAACCAAAGCTTATGAGAATTAGCATCCCTAAACTCAAGACTCAGCCGCGTTCTGTGAATACATGACGGAAAAAAGGAGAAAATTCAATTTGATTCCTTAAGAWCAAATGTGTGTGGGCAGAAACATCATCCCTTTAGCTAAACACTGAGCAAGCACTAACATTTAGGGAGCCCCTATTATGAGTTAGGCTCTCTGCTAACATGGGAAAACAAAGATAAATGAGGCATAATCTTGCCTCTGAGGAGCCTGCAGACTGGTGGAGGAGACAGATGTGGAAACAAATAACTAATAATATCACTACATTGTGGTAAGAGATATTGTGAGGTATGTGTGAAATGTTATAAAGTGTTATCAGAATTTAGAGGAGAGAGAAACTCTCCCGGGGATACAAGCAACCGGAGAAGTGATACTGGTTGATGAAGCATAAGCTGGTCCGGATGTGGCAGAATAGTAGGGATGGTTTAGGAAAAGGATGCTTTGGACTTTGAGCTGCTGCACACAAACATGGCACCCATGAGAACCTAAGGCAGTAGGAGGACATTGACTTAGGGTGCTGGTAGCCCCTGGACCTCTCTCCAGAATGTCTGAAACAGGAAACTACCTTCAATCCCTAGTACCTAGCATATATAGGCTGGCCTTTGGCGTTCTTTGGTTACTAATTTTTCTATGCCATAAGCAAAATGGTTGTTGTAGGAAGAAGGAGACTGAGGAACTTGGGAACTTCAATGTTGAGTTCAAGGTTTATGACCATTGAGACCTAAACTTGGAGCCCTAAACTTATAGAATCCTGGCCCTAACTTCATCAATCACGTGACTTCTAGAAGATAAAATCACTATCTACCATTTAGAATGTTTGTGGGATTGACCAAGCTAGATCTGTGAGTTGCCAAACACAGGATTAAGTGGCTGGTTCCCCACCTTCCTCTATCAGGGTTGAGTCCGAGGTTGTTCCCCAATACAGCATAGCATTAGCTTAAATGCCAAAACTTGGAGTGAATCCAACGCACTTCCCTTTAATACACTAAACTTTTACCCTACCATTTGTTTCACATAGGGAACAAAGCAAAAACTCTATCTTTAAAATTCCAGTGCTTTTAATTGTGTTACCTTGATATATAGCTACTATTTTCACCATTTATCTAAAAGAATAAAGCAGAGTTAGGAATAATTCTTCGAACCCAAGAACCAAATGGTGGTTCCAAAGTTGGATCCCAGTTACAAAACAGTACAAGGAACAAAGTACTTCTTGATCTCACCAGAGGAAAAGGATGCCCTAACACAGCAATTATGGAATCTTGGGAAACTCAATTTCTCGACATGTCAGTTTCTTCATCTTCAAAAGGGTCTATGGGACAAGGTATACAAAGCTCTTAGCACAGTGCCTGGCACCTAGTTAGCTCTCTGTAAGTGGAAACACTCGTTTTGATGACTATTGTCTGAACACATAYGTGAGCCTTTTCAACACCTTCCTCCTTCCCTTTTCCTCTCCCAGGTGCCTCCACCCAGAATTCTAACACCGTGGAGCCCGAGAAGCAGGTGGACAACACGGTGAAGATGGCGGGCGTGATCGCTGGCCTCCTCATGTTCATCATTATTTTGCTGGGCGTGATGCTCACCATCAAAAGGAGGTGAGTCTCTGACTCTGCCCTGAAGACTCTGCTGACCCCAGGTGACCCCACTTTCATGACTKCCCTGCATGGCCAGGTCATTGTTCTGTTGGTCCCTGTCCAGCAGCCATCTGATGACTGTTGAGGTCCTGAAATACTTGAGCCAGCTGTGGCTCCTTGTGTTGTTATTGGGAGAGTGTGTTCTGCCTGCTTGACAAGTGGCCCAGAGAAGGCCCATTTCTCATGGAACCAGTAATTCCTATGGGTAGACCACGTTGTCATGCCTTTGGACTCTATATCATGAAATGAGTCTTCTTAGAGTTAACTGTTCTGTGGTGATCGCTCATGTTCTAAGATAGCTGGGGAGGTCCACAAAGATAGATGATCCTAGAAGTACAATCGCAAGAAAGTAATGCTTTACCTTTCATACCATCAGATCCAGTAGCTGAATCCCAGGTTGCCCTCAAACTTCTATGAGAGTCCCAGAGACTCTCCTACTCCAGGCTCCTTCTGACTGCATGTCTCACAAAACCTTCCCAGCTGGTTGTTGCTGCTTGGTACCTCTCAGCAGGATGCCTCTCTGGGCCCTTCAGGCCAACTAACACAGTTTTCCCATACTCTGTGTGTGTTTTTCCAAACTGCATTGCTGATGAAAAGCAAGAGTGCAGATGCGTCCCTTATTCCCAAGACCCCAGCATCTTCTGTTTAAGAGAGATTCATAAGGCTTGAAGATGACACTAGACAATTACAGAGAGGGGAAGGAAATACAAAGGATGAATATCAGCTAGCAGTGTCCTGAGTGATCTGGGTTATTCCTYCTGGTCACATCTCCTTAGCTGCTGCCTATCACCACATGGCCATGCCTGCTTACCATCTCCATGTCTTCCCAGTTCCATCTCCTGAGCGTCAATCTTAGTTACCCTCCCACTCCTCAGTCTGCCAGAGCCAACAAAGCATTTATCTACCTTATAACATCTACTGTGCCAACATGCCCTGCCCCCAGGAAATACAGCCATTTTACGTTGTTGACCAAACTAACAACTGAGCCTCAAGCTCTTGGTTTGGTTACAGAGAGTTCTGGATGACCCTAAGAACAAGGGCCAGAAACTCATCTCCATGTACAGGAGGAAAGATGCTTGAGAAACTTGTTCCCCTCCAGAACAAAAGAAAGGAATGTCCCAAAGACTAATTCCAGCTTCTACTTTAGGAACCACATGAATATGATTGCAGAGTTGTTTTTTTTTTTTTTTTCCAATAAAGTGATGTTCCCATCTCCAGCTGTCAGTGATTCAAAAATACTGGTTTGGCACCATGCTGTCAACCATGCAGGCACCAGAACATCCCTCTGTCCCTCACTCACTGTTCTGCTTAGAATCAGCCAGTCCCTCCTCTGACAGGATAGCTCAGGGCAGGAACCTCATCCTTTTCTTACACCTTTTATCTAATACCATCATTTCTCCTTGAGCTCCCAGCAGGATGGCTGAAGAGTTAAGGTTCTCATCCAGCCACAGGATGTCCCCTGTTGGTGGGGGGTTAGGGGGGACACTGGGGCCAAGGAGCCCTCCAGGGGCTAAAGACAGCCCTGCATTGTCATTAGCTCATCATGGTAAAGCACCACCATATTGTCCATCTCAGGGACGGGTCAGCTGTGTTACATGAGGAAGAAGATGAGCTTCGATCTCTATGTGGGCAGTAAGCACATTGCACATAAGAGATCTTTGCCATGTTTCTTAGCAACACCGACATATTAGAGGCAGAGGGGAGTTTGGGATTGTCGACCTGGAAACAGTGACCAATTTAATAGAAGTGAATATCTCCTCGACAGACCCAGAGTTTCCTCATTCTTTGCCACTGATTTGTAAGTCAGATATGCTCTTCCAATTTTGCTCTTTCTAAAGCCTGGCTTAACCCACGTCACCGTCGTCTGTGAGCTTGTGAAGAAATTTCACTTCCTTCTCAACAGCTATTTCTGAAATGTGTGACTTTCTGGGAGGGAGGGAGGGAGGGGCTCTCTGTTGCCACGGTGGGAGCAAGTCTGAAGTGAGTCTTTTGTGTAGTTTTAACCTCTTCTGAATATCTTCATCATGTCTCACTTCTATAAAACCCTCTTCCTCACACTCAGCCAAGGGTGTCACATGATCACCATGTCCTTCCAGGAAGCAAAACTGAAGACATCATGGCAGTGTGTGTGGAGTGGGGATGCCGGTCAGTGTTTGTGTATACGGTATCTTCTAAGAAAATGAAACATTTTCTGACCTCGTTGATAGGACAATTTACCAATGGATTTAGGGAAGAGGAAGACAGGAGAGAATGGGGAAGAAAARAGAAATTAGACATAGGTCTGTACTCTTTTCACTTAACCTACAGCATCTTCCTCTGTCCAGAGATGGCCAAAGGACAGACAAGGGCATGGTGGGCTCCTTTGCTTCTGTGCACGTCTTCTAACTCCAATCCTGTATATAAACACAGGGACACGTCAGGCAGTTCAATCTGCTACTAACTCACGGCTGGTTATACCGCTGTCCACAGCTAGAAGGAAGAGATATTAAAGGAAAAGAAATCTCCAAATAATAGACAAATCTCCAGGGCTCAGGATCCCCACGTCAGCATCTCTTCAGGGTCCCATCATCACCTGCAGTTCCTGGATCCTGGGGTTCTCAGAGGTGGCACACCTGCTGTACTCCCTCCACTGGTTTGAGCTTGTGGGGGTCCTCTCCCTGTCCTCCATGGGCACGCACACAGCCACTCTGGTTTTTCCTCTTCCTGATAGATTCAACTGACTCAAAGTTTCCCTAAAGCTACAGCCTCAGAGGTTTCCAGGAAATATAGATATTCCCAGCGGCTCCATGTCAGGGGCTCGCCATTGTTGGTGTTAGGACTCTCTTCCCTTCTCCAGAGTCTTTCTTTTCCTCTTAGGGGTTTCCTTTGTGACAGAGAAACAGAGAACAGAGAAGGACTTAAGGTTCAAAGGGCTGCAGGAAGGGCTTAATGAAAGAAATTAAAACTGATTTACATGTAGAGATTGGAAAAAAGAGAGAGGCAGGAAGAGATGGAGAGGAAGACCGCCAAAGTCCGAGGAGGGTTTTGTTCGTGCTTGCATTTGTTTTGTAATAAGGGAGAGGGTCTCCAAAGACTAAGGCCAAAAGGGATATGAGGTGCTGGTGGGCCACTTACATGACACTCCCCAATAGTTTACAAAGGATGCAAGTTAAAGTTCAGATTTTATTTATTTATTTTTCTTTATTTTGGTATGACCCTTGACTGTTTGGACTGGGCTTCTTTGAGTGTGGGACCGTACATAATCAAGACCAAGTGGAGATATACAGGATTATATGAGCATTTTAAGACAGGTACCAGGAGCCTGTCTCTATGATAGAGTTAATGAACAATGTGGTTTTACCCATGTCACAGCAATACGGTTCCCCTCTTCTCCTGGATCTATTGATCACATGGAGACCTTGGAATGCTCTAGTATGGGTGCCAAMATATAGTAACAAATACCTCCTTTTCACGTGTACCATTTTGAATCCTGACATAAAGAGAGGCCCATGGCTGGCTTGGTCCTGTGGTCCTGGGTGTCCTTCACTCCTCAACTTCCCACCTTACGTAGTTACAGCCTCCCCTACAGAAATTAGTGGCCAAGGAGTTAATACAAAGGGATTTGGGGTGTCTTTAATGAAAATTAAGGTGGGATTCTCTGAATCCTTGTGCCTTAACCAATTTTATCTCGATGGTTAAAGGTGTTTACTGGCCACTCATACATGAGAAACTCTACACTTTAATGTTTGTGGGATGTGAAATTATATGCATATGTCCCCAGGTTTCAATTTTATGCCCTGGCCATACTCTCTAGAGTCCCATGGTTCCCCGAAAGCTTGAGGCCATGTAAATTTGGAAAAGGAAACACTGGATCCAGGGTTAGCAGGATTCTTGCAGATCTGCACAAGGACTTGTCAGAATCCTATAGTCACCTCTCCATCCCTTCATACTTTGAGAACTAGGAAGTTTTAGGGAGATATTTTAAAGTTAGTTCTGAGCACGACTCTAGCTACTCTCTCTATTCTCCTCCTCTGCTTAGCTTTGCCTGGTCCAGACTGAATTTTCTGCCAACCATGCTTTGCCTTGTCCACATAGTAAGTTTTCCAAAGGTATATCTGGAGTRTCTTCGTTTTGGAATATGAGAATCAACTCTGAGATATGCATGCATCTCTGAGTACACATTGATTCTTTGTGATTTCTATCTGCCCTCCAGTAATTCCCAGTCTAATGGAGGCAGACCCTTTGTAACTGGACTGGGAATCAAAAACAAAAATTGTCCAGTTTCTGCAGTAGTATTGATTTGCTGTTTGCCATGGAGATGACACTTAACAAATCCCATTCTTTGCTATGTGAGATGCCGCCAACCTTATAGGGCTGTTTTGGAGATCAGATAGGCTAATGTTGGCCTATATTTTCCTGAGAAATGAAAATGTACAATGTCAACAGGAGCCCTCTCTCACACATGACCATAACTAACTGTACCAGAGCAGGTCTAAGCTCATCRCTAATATGCTAACCGCAGTGTTGCAATCAATGTTCACACATTGAGCTAATTTCTCTATTTCTATGGCTGCCATATTTTTATTATAATCCTTCTAATAATCATAGTTGGCTAGGTCTGTTGATACTTCTATATATTTTTTTAATTTTTGAGAAAATTTCAAAGGGGTTACATGAGCTGGTCAAGGTCTTGGGCAGAGTTGAGATGCAAACCCAGGCTCTGTCACCCCAGATCCCATGCTGCTAGCTTCTATGCTATCAGTCCAAGGAGACCAGTAGGAAGTAAGAAAATCATAGACCTGGAGACAGGTGGCTCAAATTCAAGCACTACTTTTCCTCTCTAGTCTTATTTTTTGCTGCCTTCACACTACTCTCTGGGCATGTGTTTCCCTGAGTGAAATGTCCTGACATCTTTCTTCCCCTGCAAACTTTCTATTACCCTCTAACCTTCTGCCCCAAGGTTTTCCAAGTAGGACTCCCAA